TTTATGCACTGATCTTGAGGATTAAGTATATCTTAAAGTCTAAAATTATTTTTTGTTCTACTGTTACAATCCGCGTTAATTTTATGCACTGATCTTGAGGATTAAGTATATCTTAAAGTCTAAAATTATTTTTTGTTTTACTGTTACAATCCGCATTATTTTTTATGCACTGATCTTGAGGATTAAGTATATCTTAAAGTCTAAAATTATTTTTGTTCTACTGTTACAATCCGCGTTAATTTTTATGCACTGATCTTGAGGATTAAGTATATCTTAAAGTCTAAAATTATTTTTTTGTTCTATTGTTACAATCCGCGTTAATTTTTATGCACTGATCTTGAGGATTAAGTATATCTTAAAGTCTAAAATTATTTTTGTTTTACTGTTACAATCCGCGTATATCTTTTTATGCACTTAATTTTTATGCACTGATCTTGAGGATTAAGTATATCTTAAAGTCTAAAATTATTTTTGTTCTACTGTTACAATCCGCGTTAATTTTTATGCACTGATCTTGAGGATTAAGTATATCTTAAAGTCTAAAATTTTTTTTGTTCTACTGTTACAATCCGCGTTAATTTTTATGCACTGATCTTGAGGATTAAGTATATCTTAAAGTCTAAAATTATTTTTGTTTTACTGTTACAATCCGCGTTAATTTTATGCACTGATCTTGAGGATTAAGTATATCTTAAAGTCTAAAATTATTTTTGTTCTACTGTTACAATCCGCGTTAAAATTTTATATGCACTGATCTTGAGGATTAAGTATATTAAATCTCAAATTATTTTTTGTTCTAAAATTATCTTTTTGTTTGAGGATTAAGTATATTAAAGTCTAAAAATTTTTGTTCTACTGTTACAATCCGTTAATTTTTTATGCACTGATCTTGAGGATTAAGTATATCTTAAAGTTTAAAATTATTTTTTTTTTTGTTACAATCCGCGTTATCTTTTATGCACTGATCTTGAGGATTAAGTATATCTTAAAGTCTAAAATTATTTTTGTTCTACTGTTACAATCCGCGTTAATTTTATGCACTGATCTTGAGGATTAAGTATATCTTAAAGTCTAAAATTATTTTTTGTTTTACTGTTACAATCCGCATTAATTTTTATGCACTGATCTTGAGGATTAAGTATATCTTAAAGTCTAAAATTATTTTTGTTCTACTGTTACAATCCGCGTTAATTTTTATGCACTGATCTTGAGGATTAAGTATATCTTAAAGTCTAAAATTATTTTTTTTGTTTTATTTTTTTTACAATCCGCGTTATCTTTTATGCACTGATCTTGAGGATTAAGTATATCTTAAAGTCTAAAATTATTTTTTTTTTTTACTGTTACAATCCGCGTTAATCTTTTCATGCACTGATCTTGAGGATTAAGTATATCTTAAAGTCTAAAATTATTTTTGTTCTACTGTTACAATCCGCGTTAATTTTTATGCACTGATCTTGAGGATTAAGTATATCTTAAAGTCTAAAATTATTTTTTGTTTTACTGTTACAATCCGCGTTTAATTTTATGCACTGATCTTGAGGATTAAGTATATCTTAAAGTCTAAAATTATTTTTGTTCTACTGTTACAATCCGCGTTAATTTTTATGCACTGATCTTGAGGATTAAGTATATCTTAAAGTCTAAAATTATTTTTTTTTACTGTTACAATCCGCGTTATTTTTATGCACTGATGTTGAGGATTAAGTATATCTTAAAGTCTCAAATTATTTTTATTTTACTGTTACAATCCGCGTTATCTTTTTATGCACTGATCTTGAGGATTAAGTATATCTTAAAGTCTAAAATTATTTTGTTTTATTGTTACAATCCGCGTTAATTTTTTATGCACTGATCTTGAGGATTAAGTATATCTTAAAGTCTCAAATTATTTTGTTTTATTGTTACAATCCGCGTTAATTTTTTGCATTGATCTTGATCTTAAAGTCTCAAATTATTTTGTTTATTGTTACAAGTATATTTTATGCACTGATCTTGAGGATTAAGTATATCTTAAAGTCTAAAATTATTTTTGTTTTTATTTTACAATCCGCGTTAATTTTCATGCACTGATCTTGAGGATTAAGTATATCTTAAAGTCTAAAATTATTTTTTGTTCTACTGTTACAATCCGCGTTAATTTTTATGCACTGATCTTGAGGATTAAGTATATCTTAAAGTCTCAAATTATTTTTGTTTTACTGTTACAATCCGCGTTATTTTTATGCACTGATCTTGAGGATTAAGTATATCTTAAAGTCTAAAATTATTTTTGTTCTACTGTTACAATCCGCGTTAATTTTTATGCACTGATCTTGAGGATTAAGTATATCTTAAAGTCTAAAATTATTTTTATTTTACTGTTACAATCCGCGTTATCTTTTATGCACTGATCTTGAGGATTAAGTATATCTTAAAGTCTAAAATTATTTTTGTTCTACTGTTACAATCCGCGTTAATTTTTATGCACTGATCTTGAGGATTAAGTATATCTTAAAGTCTAAAATTATTTTTGTTTTATTGTTACAATCCGCGTTAATTTTCATGCACTGATCTTGAGGATTAAGTATATCTTAAAGTCTAAAATTATTTTTGTTTACTGTTACAATCGCGTTAATTTTTATGCACTGATCTTGAGGATTAAGTATATCTTAAAGTTAAAAAGTTCTAAAATTATTTTTGTTCTACTGTTACAATCCGCGTTAATTTTATGCACTGATCTTGAGGATTAAGTATATCTTAAAAAGTTGTTACAAAAAATTATTTTTTGTTTTACTGTTACAATCCGCGTTAATTTTTATGCAGTGATCTTGAGGATTAAGTATATCTTAAAGTCTAAAATTATTTTTGTTTTACTGTTACAATCCGCGTTAATTTTTTATGCACTGATCTTTGAGGATTAAGTATATCTTAAAGTCTAAAATTATTTTTGTTTTATTTTGTTACAATCCGCGTTAATTTTTATGCACTGATCTTGAGGATTAAGTATATCTTAAAGTCTAAAAATTATTTTTGTTCTACTGTTACAATCCGCGTTAATTTTTATGCACTGATCTTGAGGATTAAGTATATCTTAAAGTCTAAAATTATTTTTGTTCTCCTGTTACAATCCGCGTTAATTTTTATGCACTGATCTTGAGGATTAATTATATCTTAAAGTCTCAAATTATTTTTATTTTACTGTTACAATCCGCGTTATCTTTTATGCACTGATCTTGAGGATTAAGTATATCTTAAAGTCTAAAATTATTTTTGTTCTACTGTTACAATCCGCGTTAATTTTTATGCACTGATCTTGAGGATTAAGTATATCTTAAAGTCTAAAATTATTTTTGTTTTATTGTTACAATCCGCGTTAATTTTTATGCACTGATCTTGAGGATTAAGTATATCTTAAAGTCTAAAATTATTTTTGTTCTACTGTTACAATCCGCGTTAATTTTTATGCACTGATCTTGAGGATTAAGTATATCTTAAAGTCTAAAATTATTTTTGTTTTACTGTTACAATCCGCGGTATCTTTTATGCACTGATCTTGAGGATTAAGTATATCTTAAAGTCTAAAATTATTTTTTGTTTTACTGTTACAATCCGCGTTAATTTTTTATGCACTGATCTTGAGGATTAAGTATATCTTAAAGTCTAAAATTATTTTTGTTTTATTGTTACAATCCGCGTTAATTTTTATGCACTGATCTTGAGGATTAAGTATATCTTAAAGTCTCAAATTATTTTATCTATTTACAATCTGTTTAATTTTATGCAGATCTTGAGGATTAAGTAATCTTAAAGTCTAAAATTATTTTTTTTACTGTTACAATCCGCGTTATCTTTTATGCACTGATCTTGAGGATTAAGTATATCTTAAAGTCTAAAAATTTTTGTTTTTTGTTCAATCTGTTATATTTTTTTATGCACTGATCTTGAGGATTAAGTATATTTTAAAGTCTAAAATAATTTTTGTTTATTCGCGTTAATTTTCATGCAGGATCTTGAGGATTAAGTATATCTTAAAGTCTAAAATTATTTTGTTTTATTGTTACAATCCGCGTTAATTTTATGCACTGATCTTGAGGATTAAGTATATCTTAAAGTCTAAAAAATTATTTTTTGTTTTTACTGTTACGCCTTGGCATTTAACTTTTTTCTTTTTGCACTGATCTTGAGGGATTAAGTATATCTTAAAGTCTAAAATTATTTTTGTCTTACTGTTACAATCCAGTTTTTTATGCACTGATCAAGGATTAAGTATATCTTAAAGTCTAAAATTATTTTTTTTACTGTTACAATCCGCGTTCTTTTATTACAGTGATCTTGAGGATTAAGTATATCTTAAAGTCTAAAATTTTGTTTTGACAATCCGCGTTATTTATACTGTTTTAATTATTATTCTTAAAGTCTGCGTTATCTTTATGCACTGATCTTGAGGATTAAGTATATCTTAAAGTCTAAAATTATTTTTCGTTCCTTTAGGAGTTGTTACAATCCGCGTTAAAATGCACTGATCTTGAGGATTAAGTATATTTTTTTATTTTTGTTCTACTGTTACAATCCGCGTTAATTTTTTATGCATATGATCTTGAGGAACTGTTACAAAATCTTGAGGATTAAGTATATCTTAAAAAATTATTTTCGTTTTACTGTTACAATCCGCGGTATCTTTTATGCACTGATCTTGAGGATTAAGTATATCTTAAAGTCTAAAATTATTTTTGTTTTACTGTACGCCTTGGCATTTACCTTTTGTTCTTTTTTTTTTTCAGAGGGTGGAGAGCTTGACTACTAGTCTTACCTAACAGTTTATTATTTATACAAACATGTACTTCGTGATCTTCAGCGCCCCCGCAACACATTTATTTTTCCGTGATAATGACAGCATATTTATACGTTTTAATATTATTCTGAATCCTTTGTGCGATTTAATCTTCCTTAGAGTTGCAAAATTGTTTTTTTTTTTTAAAAAAAACGCGTTAAAAAATGATAATGGAATTTAAAAACTGATGAAAAGCTCGAAAAAGGTGTACTTTGCAATATCAGAGGCCTTCTTCTTCTTCTTCTTCTTCTTCTTCTTCTTCTTTATCATTCCTTTCTTGTCACACTCTCTCAGTTTTTCTTTATCTTTTTTATTTTTCTCCAATTTCGTGGGATATATATATATAAGAATATTCCACGTGAATTTTCTTACGACAGCATCATTGAAAGTAAGAAGTGGTAAACATTTGCAAGATGATGAGAAGATAATTAAGAAAAAACGAAATAGTGCCGCATGGGGGCGCTACCGCGAAAAGAAAATGGTTGCCTTTTCTTTTTAGTTGATGAAAAACAAAAGCGGAGAATTTCTCTTGGGACAACTTTTTGTAGATTTATTTTCAATTTTTCTCACATTTTTTCCGATTCGAATATGTCAAGAGAATATTATGATTTTGTTTCATTTCCTATTTTTGCTGTTTGCTTAACTTATTTATTGCTTACATTCTTTCCAGATTCGTTTTCTTTTTCCTTTTTGATCGAAGGTGGATGTTTTGGTTGGATTTTGCTAACAATCAATTGTACGTGTTGTTTTAGATTGTTTTGTGGTACCGAAGTATTTTTAGAGAAAACAAAAATTTATTTCAGTGTTTCATCAGCCAGAATATGGTGCTTAACATGTCAAAAGATCAACACTAGTCTTCTTTTTCGGTGCCGTGTCAAGAATTAGGCGATCATAACTCCCCACAACATCTTATCTTTTGTTACACAAAGTAAACTTTTGACCATATGCCATTTTTTTTTTCTCCTTGTTCTGTAATAACTCGTTAAATAGCTTATTCTCAGTTTCCTCTTGCCTTCACTATGCCCATGAGTCTTAGATTTTCTTTGGTTTCTTTCCTCATTACTTGTCCAAAAAATTCAGCTGTTTTTTTCTGACTGTAAATGCAAATGAACTACATCTCTGTCGCTCCAAGATATTGTTGAATCTTTACTTCTCTATAGGAGATTAGATATTACACAGCAGTTCAAAATTCTTTTCTTTATTTCTACGGATATTTTCTGATCACTTGATATTCTTCATCTGTGAGGAAATTGTGCAGAAATCACTTCTATATACGAGATTAGATATTACACAGCAAAAGAGTGTTGTTAAAGAGTGCTGAATAGCTGTATATCTATCCTATATGGGACAATGAATGCTGGGAAATTTCTTCACACATGAAAACGAGATTTGACAGAGATGTGTTTCTACGGAAAGATGCTGGAAATAACATGTATATAACGTGAGCAGCGATGAAATTTTAATGAAAATGGGAACAAAAAGGTTACTTCTACTTATGATAAGGAAGAGACCATTGAAATTTCTTGGACGCAGAATAAAGAAGGGGCTTGATGAATATGACACTTAAAGGACGTATTAAAAAAAGAATGGTCAGAGAGAAACATTGAATAACATAGCTAACGAGTTTATGGTAAGGGAACAAATATTGTTTAACGCTACAGATTACAGGAAGTTGTGGATAACTATGTACTAAAGCTACAGATTTCAGGAAGTTGTGAATAGCTATGCGCATAAAAGAAGAATGTTAAATAAATAATGTGAAAAGGCAAGATCATATACAAATTCCTAAATATATGTATAATTAGTATAGAGTATATTTCTATATTATCCTCTCCGGAACAAACAAGCAAGAGCAATATATTCTAATGTTGGTGTAACACAGTCTTCTTCCCAATATATTTGGCCTTATGTTGGGTTAGATACATTTGATAAAGTAATGATATATTACCTGGGGATTTGTTTTAATGGGGCGTTGCAAATTATTTTAACTGATCCAGATTTTCTACGATGATTGAAGCTGTATTCTTAAATTAAGGTCAAAGTTCGGATTAACTTTGTCTCTGAGAAGCAAAGAAACAGAGAAATGAGCATTATTAATCTGTAAAGAAAGAAACTAAAATGAAACTAGATGAATAGATTTTCGTTTTTCAGGATTTGGACTGTCATAGCTTGATTTTTTTTTTAATAACTGGGAATTAACTTCTTGGGAAGGATAGTGGGTTGATTTCCTATTGCTATCCCCAGGGTTTAAAATTCAGAGTGTTTTCTTCTCTGAAGTTGGTTGCTTTACCAAAGCTATAAAGCCCAATCTGTTCTGTTATTTATCCTATAATTGAAGGGAAAAGAATATGTATGCCTTTTCTAAAGACATTGGTGCGAAGTTTAAAGTTGAAAGATGATAAGATAATTATGAAAAGACAATAACGTAAAACGGCCTCCTGGCGGTGGACGCTAAAATGAATAGAGTAATAGCTGCCGCTACTTTTTTTCATATATTTTTCAAGGCAACATCTTTGGTGGAAATTTGAACTTGGCCAGTCGATTCTATTTTCCTATTCAATAACCATTTCGCCACTCAGATATACATTAAGATGGCGTAAAATGAAAAAAGTGATATTGCAGAGATAACAGCGATTAATATTGAGAAAAAAAAGCGGATTGCACATTGCTATCTTTCAAAGATTTCAGTTTATGCACCTTTAGTCACTCGTTTCCTATCTTTTCATTTTTTTTTTCTTATTTTTTTTTCTTGTTTTTAACCATAACATTCCTATTTCTTCTTCATGACACATACCTATGATTTACTTCACGGTCACTGTTTTTTCCCCTTTCCTGCCAAATGCAAATATATACACCTTTATTTATTTATTTTTAATGTGAATTTTGTTGACTGTATAATAGTCTGTATGCGTAATTTCCGTTTTCCCGATTTTGTAATATATTTTGCACAGAGCGAGCTGCCCGTTCGACTTCTAATTTGTGTCTTCCTTTCGTCCTACACGCATTTTTTCATACGACGTCATGCCAAAAATATAAAAACAATGCAAAATGGTGATTCTGTCATCTCGTGAAGAGAAAACATACGCTAAACAAGAGCGCCGGCACACTCCCCACGAATATATATATATATATATATATATATATATACAAGAAAATATGAAATATTTTGACTCATCAGAAGACAAACCCTACACAAACACATGCATACACACAAACACAGACACAAACACACATATAATAAATAATAATGCTAGCCACCAATATCCGCAAAAAATATACAATTCAGGGCATATGGCGGTGAACAGAATTTCTGTAAATATTTCACTCTGCAAATATTTGACTAACAAATACAAACAAGCGAATACACATATAAATATATATATATATATATATATATATATATATATATATATATATATATATAAATATATATTATAAACATTTTATATAAATATAAATATACACATTTATATAAAGCCGAATACTTATTGATGTCAACTCTGAGTTTCGTAATGTTCTTAATCCTCAATCATCTGAGAAAATTATTATATCTGATTCAGTAATAATTGCTTTTTTCAAATATCGGGCACTTTATTGGCAGAAATTATGTTCACACTGAAATATGATTAATTGTGTAGTTTTATGTATATTGGAATCTAATATATTAATGCTCTGTAAATTTACATTGAGCACGATTTTGTAAAAATAAAAATATCTATAAGAACACCGGATTATATATCTTACTGTTCTTTCTTTTTATTTAAATACATATATATATATATATATATATATATATATATATAAGTACATGCATATGTGTATATGTCCGTTTCCTTGTGTGTGTATGTGCGTTTATGTTCTGATGATTCAAAAATATTTTCTAGTATATATATATATATATATATATATATATATATATATATATATATATATATATCGTTTACGTATGTACACACAGATATATATATATATTGTTATTTTATTAATTTATTATTTTGTTTAAACATTTTTTATGGATACTCATATTCGAGTAGAATCTTCTTTTTTTTTTAATTTAACAGTATTTTTATTCAACTACATTTAATACCCTGAATATATTCGGTCTTTGTTTGACAGGAAATCCTATGTGGCCAAGCGGTCAAGCACATCAGATCCAATAGGTCATGTAGTTTCGAATCATATTTTTCTGACAAGATCTCTCGATTGTTCTGGCCGGTTGATGTAATTGGATAGGAAACACTATTAAATAAAGAAAAACAGAGATTATGTGTTTAAAAATATTAATTTCGACTTTGTTAATCATGCGCTTCTCTATAGCTAAGTGGAATAGCACGTCAGATCACATGACAGTTCCGTATAGGAAACAAGTTCTATTCCCGATGGAGAACGCATATTTCCTATGAAATTTCTCGAACATTCAGGCTAGTAAATATAATAATGTTTAATTAAAAAAATAGAGCAGTTACTTAAATAAATTGTATCCATTAAAAAACCGTATCAACAGAAAATATATTAAATAATTGTCGGACTTAGTCCATTTTTTGTATATATTCATGTATGAATTTTTTTTCATATATGTATGCATTTTTTTAATTCTATACTAAATTGTGGTTTGAGGAATATGGATGCAGTTATGTATGCATATATCGGTGTGTTTGAATGAGCAATGGGGTGTCGATGGTAGTTATATACAGGTTGGATATCACACGTAAATGTCTACTTATACCAACATGTATATTTATACATTGTTCTACGTAAAAGTACGCCCAATCTCATTCAAACGTTGTCATGTATCCTCAATAAGAAAAGGTCATATTAAAATCTCATATGCCACACAAACACAACGCCTATTGACACAAAACGAAAGGCATTGTCTTATTTATTCACCCAAACCCATATATGCGAATACAAACACGTAGCAGGCAGCCCATCCATTTGCGCATGACCATATACGCATCTACCTGGACACGATTATAAACAATGGCAAACACGCCTATATGTACATCTTTTACCTATCTTCTCTGCTAAAAAAAATAAAGTAATTGTAAGTCTCTCCTGCTGTGTAAATTAACTACATTTAATACCAGCAGCTATATATGTAAATAGATTTGTAATATGACAATTTTCAAGAATTTTGTCTAAATTTTTTATTATTTTATATTTTTCTCTTACTTTTGTTTTAGGGAAAAGAGTATGTCCGTTATATTTTAATAGAAGCGTGCATTGCAAGATCAGGTGAATCTCGTATTTTATATCTTTTTTTTTTAAATCGTAATTACTTACCTTTTATTTATTTATCTATTTATTGTGTAGTGGTTGTGGATGTGCAGTCGATGGATATGTAATAAAGAAAAAGTTCTCGTATTTATGTAACTTGGACTGATGCCAACACGAAGAAAATGATGGTAACTTTTGTATCAAATCGCAGAATTTCCTTGTCGACGAGATCACCTCTCGTCTTTGCCTGACACTTCTTTTCGACACAACCAATTCTTTTAATTTCACTATCTATCTATCTTATTATATACATATATTTCTCATTCTCTCTGTCTGTCTCTCTCACATACACACAAACACACACATTCTATTCATATCTATTTTATTATTTATCCATCTTTTTTATACTATTTTCTATGCTTATCTATTATATATATATATATATATATATATATATATATATATATATATATATATATATATATATATATATACCTAAATGGAGAGGAAAACTTTTCAAACAAATTTTAAATTTTGATAATTTTACTAATAAAATTTATTCCATTTTTTATTTCATTCCGTTTTTAAATGTTATTTTTTCTTACTGATGAAGAGTGTAATTCCCCCAAAAAATGAAATTCCAGGTTTTAAAAAGAATTATGTAAAAGATAGTTTAGCACTAAACAGGAACATTGCAATGTATTTTTTTAAATATTTTATATAACCTATTCATTAAAAAGAAAAAAACAAGCAAACTTTAATTATGTAACGGTAACGCATCCTGATCGCCATTTCTTAGTAAAAAGCTATACATTTATGGCAACTCGATACAAATGAATGAAAATACCTCACATTTTCATAGTAAAAGAGCAAGTAGGGGAGATCAGGCTTCTAATATATTCTATTTCTTTAATTTCGTTGTAGCGGTTTTTAGATATTTTTAATTTTACTAATTTAAAAATCAGGATTCTTTCTTTCATTCGGCAACAAAGTTAATTGCATGGATGCAAGTCCTAGATTCTTCAGGCAGAAAATCAATGCATTTGAAAAATGACTCAATATTTTATGTCTTCTTCTTCATTTTTTTTTTTTTTTTTTTTTTTTTTGAGGTTACGTGTAAACTAGTAATAGTTGTCTTGCTAAACTAAACAATTTTAGCATTTGTCATACTATGATTTCCAGATGTCCTTGTTGTTATTTAATATGATGTACCATCTATTAGAAAAAAACAAAACAATGTTTGAATGACAGGAACTGTATTGAAGAAATTTATAGAATAGAATGAATAAGCATTGGAATAAAATTTATTTGTCTTAAATTAATTTATTTATTAATAGAGTTATACTTCTGAAAAGAAATACTAATGTTTTGAATAAAATTACTTATAGATTATTATTTACTAGGCGTAGCAAGACCACAATTATGAGACACCCAGTGAGAATATAACTCACTAACAGACTAGATTGCTAACTTATAGGCACTTGGAGGCACCCGAGCACTTTTAACTTTAAATAGTTTAGTGTGATTGATTAATAGTCAAGTGTTACATGCTGCTCACGTAGTTAGAGCCACTAGCTTTCCTTCCATGAGATCTGGGTTCGAATCCCACTATGGTTAATTTGTTAAGATGTAAGTTCTTTATCGAATTGGGGATAAGATACCAGCGTGGAATACAGTTTAGAAGTGCCTGAAAACTATACCCTGGATAACCCAAGACTTGTGAGGGAAATTAGTTTTACACGAAGTCAACTTGATCGAGGGTTTGCGCGTTTTGTCTTTGTTCAATTATTGATCACATAGGATGATATACTCTCTCCCAAAGACTCTAATGTTTGCTAACATATTTGCAAATAATACACAGGTTGGCACTATGTGTGTTGAAGAAGCATTGGTGTGCCTGAACAGGGGTCTAACCACCTTGATAGACACAATATCTCCTGTGACATGCCTATATTTAGCTAAGAATTGAATTACCAAAATACCAAATATCATTGTAAGTATCAATAAGTCCTGATAGTTCTTTGAACTTCGATATTAATAAGGTACTGCTTGTCTAACACGTTTCAAAAAGCATCCATGACCGTCATCCCTACGACGGGATATTCGCGAAACTGCTGTTGTCATCATAAAATTACAATTACTAGTAAATCTATAATAAAAAAAACTTTTAATTCTAAACCAACCATTCTTTTTTCACTTGCTCTAAATGCACACGTCATCTTCTGGTAGAATTTATTGATTTGGTAGTGGGAAAAGTTGAGTGTACCATTTCCCAAGAGGAAATGCAAATAAGAACAAGAGTCATTGATGAAGCAGTTTTGCAAGATGTGCAAAATATTCAGCTAAAAGGCAAAAAGGAACACGAAGAGTCGATTATGAAATTTTTGTGGAGATAGCAACTAATTTGGTAGAAGAAGAAGAAGAAGAAGAAGACTATTACTACGTTTATTCCTACCACTTCTGCTACATCTCTTTCTTGTATACTGAGAAATGAGTTTGACTGCCATGGATTTGGGTCGTATCCAAGTCCTCGGCCAACTTGTGTGTAGATTAGCCAGTCTATCACAGTTTTGACCGTGGGCCTCTCGAAGTGTGCAATTTGGCAGAGACTATACGAAGATAAAATCTTTGCGAATTGCATTCGCTTTTTATGCATTTTCCCAATTTCACTCCTTCTCTCCCACTCTCTTTTATTTCTTCTATTTCGATTCCTCTTTCTCTCTTTTTCATTCTCGTTTGATAACCTCTTTCCTTCTTTTTTCCATCTTTCTTTCTTTACCTTTTACTCTATTTCCAATTCTATTCCAGCCTCTGCTGTCCTACTCTCTTTATCCGCATGTCGCTCTTTCTCATTCGCTTTCTGTTTGTATTGCCTCCCTAACTTCGCCTCTCTCTTTTCATTCAATTTTACCTCACATTACACATCTAAATCTCCTTTTATCTATCTCTGTCTATCTATCTATCTATCTATCTATCTCTAGCACTGTCTTTTGTTGATGACTAAAATATTCATTCAGTGAGACTCATACTTTGTCACACACACGCGCATGCGCACACACACGCATTATAACACTCACACACACGCAAACACACGTATGCACGCGCCACCCCCACACACATGAAGGATACTTCGAAATTAACGCCTCCAATCTGTTTCTCTGAAAACTACAACAGATAAAGCGAGCAAAATGTAACGTAACACACACATTGATATCGCTCTTGCAGAAATGCATTACCAACCGTCTAACTGTACTCATGTTTGCCGTTAGATCTCCGTAAGTGTTCAGCAATCTTCGATGGATACCAATAGTTACAATCTTTTCGCATGGGCAAATCATTGACATATCTCTGCATCGTTAGTACATGCATGTCAGACATCATTTTTCCAGATTGCCAGTCAGCTTTTATCAATAATAAGACAAAAAGATTATGCGTCATTCCAAATTAGAATGAATTCAACTAAAAGGATGTCAGTAGAAGATGCTACTTCTGTCGTCGTAGGCCAACGTAAGAAAATATCTGATAGTATTCAATACTTTTGAAGCGACTACGCCCAAACGCGCGAGCATGCGCGAATACACACACAAATATATATATATATATATATATATATATATATATATATACCATTATTGTAGATAAAAACATTGCTTAGAAGCCAATATATATATATATATATATATATATATATATATATATATATATATATATATATATGAAATGGACAAAGTCCGACAATTATTTTAAGACATTTTTTATGTTTATACATTCTTTTTATAGATACAAATATTTAAGTAAATGCTCTGTTTATAATAAACAGTATTAATAACATTTACCGGCCTGAATGTCCGAGAAATTTTAATAGAAAATGTTCGTCCTTCGACAGGAATCGAACCTGTATCCTTTACGGAACCGTCATATAGCCTGACATGCCTTAAAGCAGTAAAATCGACCTTGCTAACCGAACGATCGTCTGTGGTTCAATCGGATTCTTATAGCACTTTGGTCCGATAAGTGACACATGAGACGTCTACTCAAGTAGGTGGTAGTATGTCCGATATCGGTAATTGATTTGTGACAAGAAACAAAACCTTGTACTGGGTAGTGAAATTGAAACACTATATTGGTCATTACGAGTTTAGATTTGAAAGATTTATTTTGATTATTGTGTTGTGGAGTGATTTCACAGTGGAGGCTTGTATTTGTACTAAGTCGGTCCTAAAATAGGTTCGACGTACAAAACGTTAGGAACTTGATATAATAGGTATAACGCAGAGTAATCTAGTTGTGGTCGCTGATACTTTAGTATTCAACTAACTGTCGTCCGACATCAACTCACTCACCGACTCACTGACCGACCCCCACATTACTCTTACTACTCCTACTTATTATAGGTGGGAGAGTCTATTAACTATAGAATAGGTGTGTTCCACTATAATATATTGACAAGGTTTGCGGTCTACTATTTTCTTTAATATATTATAAATTTTATATGTTTCGGGAATTACGACAGAAATATGGTGTTCAATGATTCTTTGTAAAGCGAATTTGCCCTGCTTATAATTCTTCTGCATCAGGTTGCAGTAAAATATGTTAATGTTTTGTTGTGTGACATTTTTATTACTAGTGTCATGTATTTTTTGTCAGATTAATGTTATTTGGTTATCAATGATGTATTTGGGAAAATTATTGTTTGTTTTATGTGTTTTATTTCGCTCAGAAATATTCTTTAGGAAGACAGATTTTGGTGTGCTCTATTTTGGAAGTTTGTTATTACTACTATTTTGTATTATTACTACTATTTTGTAATTTTTCCAGGCATTGACTATCACAGTTTAGAAGACACTAGTTCATACTTGTGGGTTTTGTATACGGGAATGTGGTAAATACTTTGGATTTTAACTGCTTTCATCACACTTAGGTAAAAACAAAGTCTCGTGTAATATGACGTGCTGAACGAGTAAAGATAGACTTTTCGCTAGATTTCCTTTTCAGAGTCAGAGAGAATGCATCTAACACATTTCTTCACTTTTTATTACTTTCTTCTAGAAGATAGAACGATCATTTACATTCTTCCGCCATTTCCCTAGCCCTCTTAATCATTTTATTATAAATATTTGATTAAATATCTGTACCCACGGCCGCGCTCATATGTTTGCAAAACACACATTCAGACATATTAGAAAGATCCCGGTGAGATGATCATTAAATGCTTTGAAGTTTCCTCTAGTCATGACATATAAAGAATTATGAAGACTAAAGAAGACTATAGACATAAATCGTATTGTTATAGTGCTAGTTTTTTTTCTTGTCTCAGATTATCCCAATAAATACTGATCGTGTATGGTTGAGTCTACCGGCTTGCACATTGTTAACAATAGTTATTCATCGGATCTATGCACTGATGTTGTTGTTTTGTCTCTAATTCTTAAGTTTCCAGCATTGTTATATTTGTGTGGTACATAGTTGCTTACGAGGAATTTGTACTTATTTGCGCTTATATATCAACATTTCATCCAATTTCCTTTCAGATATGTACATTTTAAGTGCAGCCGGATCGACCAACTGTTTACATTTGATGGGCCACCACTGACATCCACTGAAGGCGCGAATATGCACCTGGTAGCTTGAAGTACACCTTCCAAGTCAAATTGCTGATGCACCTATATTCTCTGACGCTCTTCTGTGAGTGCGAATTCTACTTGGGCATTCTCTGAGATGTGCCCAGTACATACTGGGGTCATAGTGGGTCAACTTCACTCAGAACAAAGGTCCCTTGTTGTCCTTAAATTCGATTCAGATCATCTATTATTTCTTAGTGTGAATCAAAGGCTACATACATGTACATACACACGTGTATATATATATATATATATATATATATATATATATATATATATATATATAAAAGTGAACATTGAAATCAACACTCAGAGACGACAGGCTATTTCATGCTAGACGCAATCCTCAGACTTGACAATTGTGTCTAGCATAAAGCAGCCTATCAGAGTGTTGACTTCAATGTTCACTTTTATATTTATATTTACATACGCTCTATCTCTGATATTGAGCACTTTATCCCGTAAATATAGCACACCTTAAAACTATATATATATATATATTAAATCAATTAATTTATAATATTAATGGTCTGTAAATTTACATTGAGCACTATTTTGTAAAAATAAAAATATCTATAAGAACACCGGATTATATATCTTACTGTTGTTTATATATATATATATATATATATATATATATATATATATATATATAATATAAAAAAATTGCGAGTTGCATAAAAAATCTGACAGCTTCAAGTAAATTCTGGTGAATATTTGCATAAATAATATTTCTCTGAAGTTTTAATAATATTGTTTTGCCTGAAAGAATCAGCGCATATACTAAACTATAGAAAGCTCTTTAGTTGGCCCTAGCATATAAATAAATACAATATGGAGCCGCTCATAACGAAAGAAAGACAAATCACAGCAAGTCATCAAGCACAGCAGCAATCACATCATTGGCTGCAGCAACAGTCAAAATATCACAGCCAGCAGATGCACTTGCAACTTAATCAGAAATTTACTTCAACAAATTGTCCTACGTGACAATAGCCTAGTGGATAAAAAAGTTGGTTCGTGGATCTGGAGATGAGAATTTGTGAGCTTCCATTCCCTTTTTAGGACTGATGAGATATGAAAACAAACAAGCAATAAAAAATGAAAAGAACGCCGATTTCAAACATGTGCCCTACCTACAAGCGGTTAGGTTTTCACTCGTAATATCCACACTACCTATGAATTTGGAATATCGATTTTTCTTTTATTTATCGATATTTATTTTGGGTTTGTATCTTCGAGAAATTGTTATTTGCTGCTTTGGAATTTAAACATAGGAAAACTTCCTCCCTCTTTCTCGCTCTCTTTCTATCTCTCCCTTCTCTCTCCTTCCATCTCACTCGCTTCTTTCTTTCCTTATTTATTTGTATTTTATTTTTTCTCCTTCTTTCTTTGCCTCAATTTCTTTCGTTTCTCTCCCATTATCCAACACTCGCATTAAAGGTAATCGTTTTTCAGTTTTATTTGTTGCACGCAACAAAAATGAATTTAACATAGAATGTCAATTTGTTTTTAGTTTGTTACCGAGAGCCAAGCCTTTGAAAGACTGAGATAGAAACTGGCATTTAAGTGTTTTAAGAAGAGGGCCATTTTCTAAAATGAGTGGGTGGGATGTGCGCATGCGTAAACGAGCGCATGCATTTGTGGAAATGCGTTTCTGTTTATGATTGAAATATCTTTCCATCCGCATATCTGTAGAATCGCAAATTTTCACGTTTGTATTTTTGTTCTTTTTTATATCTGCAGATGACTTGTGTGTAATATGAAATATAATGGTTTGCATCTTTCTGTATGATGCTGTGTACGAGCGTGTATTTCTATGATTATAAACTTTCTAAATGTAGCATTATATACAATTCATTTCGAATTTTTAAACGTATGCGCATACATGTCGATAAAGATTTCCGATAGTAATAAAAGTTGATGTTTTTGCCTATTTTCGGCAATGAGTGAAATTAACAAATCGTTTCGATCTTGTTAAATATTAGTCAAGTTCTGCTCAGAAATAGACATATTTTGTTGATTTGATTTGTTTGTTTAACGGCATATCAACTCCTTATGGGTCATTTAATGTCAAAATTTAATTTAATGGGCGCTTTGAAGTAATAAACATATATGTTATTCTGCTTTCACAATTTAATACATGGTAGATGATACTCAGCTTTTTTGCATATACATGTTTTTGTGTACATGATTACTAGAGGCTGCTATTTCTACATTGTCTCAACAACTGTCAATCTAGTCATTCGCTTAAGACGAGATATCAAAAAGGAAAACTTGAAACAAATGCCAGGAAAATATTCATAGAAAAGGTACCGGGAGACGGTGGGAATGTTATTGAAGCCGAGATGCAACGTTAG